AGGTGCCCACGCTGCACCCCGGGGTGTCCACGCTGCACCCCAGGGTGTCTACGCTGCTCCCTGCATGCCCACACCTCTCCCTAGGTGCCCCACGCACCCCGCTGCGGTGCCCACGCTGCACCCCGGGGTGCCCACGCCGCTGCCTGCATGCCCGCACCTCTCCCTAGGTGCCCCAGGCACCCCTCTGAGGTGCCCACGCTGCACCCCGGGGTGCCCACGCCGCTGCCTGCATGCCCGCACCTCTCCCTAGGTGCCCCATGCACCCCTCTGCGGTGCCCACGCTGCACCCCGGGGTGCCCACGCCGCTGCCTGCATGCCCGCACCTCTCCCTAGGTGCCCCATGCACCCCTCTGAGGTGCCCACGCTGCACCCCGGGGTGCCCACACCGCTGCCTGCATGCCCGCACCTCTCTCTAGGTGCCCATGCACCCCCTGAGGCAGCCACGCTCCCCCCTGGGCACCCACACTGCTCCCCAGGGTGCCCCAGCTGCACCCCTGTGTTCCCCTTGCACCCCCCTGGATGCCCACCTCCCTACCAGCGTCCCGGGAGGCTGAGAGTGATTTTTAGGGTCCATGAGACGGACCCACGGGAGCTGCATCACCGCAGCTGCCATGTGCAGCCCGGGTGGGATCTGTGGGTTTTTCCCGGGACTGTGACTCATCCACGGCTGAGCATCGCTGCCAGACCGGGAATGTCCCATCCCTCACCGCTCCAAAAGCAACTCTGGAAAAAAATCACCATCACAGCTCGGCACAGCCGGCGGAGGAGGCGGCGACGCTGACAGCCCCAGGGAGCCGCTGGCAGCGGCGGCGAGACCATTAGTAAATGCCGAATTCCCTGAAAATGTGGGAATCGTGAAGGATTTGCATGGAAGCGCAGGAAATAAGGCTGGAAGGGACTGTGAAGGTTCGGGACAGCTCTTCCTTCTCCAGGCCCCCGTCTGCTGATGAAGCTGCGACGCTCTAGAAGATGAATTTATTCCTGTTTCTAAAGAGGCAGTGGGCGCAGCGAGAGCTGTAAAATGACTCCAGCGTCAAAAATGAGTGTGCTGCCAGGCTAAAAATAGCTTTCCCTGAAAGCAATACCCTCCGACAGCCCCGTCCTAGCGGTGGTGCCATCAGGGCTGTCGTTTGGGGCAGAAAACGTGGTTATCTGGGGTGTTAGAGAACAGGAATAATATTTATTGCTTTTAATTCAGCTGCTGGATAATTTGGGAGGTGCCGCAGCCGCTCTGGCACTGGCCGTGCTGAGGCATCCTGTGATGCTCGTGCCAGGCATCGCGTCCTCTCCGGCTTTCCAGCCCTGGCACAGCCGATTGATTGTAGATGTTTTTCAGTTAAATACATGAAAAAGTTTTATTTATTTCTGTGATTTTGGCGTTTCTTGTGAATTCTCCCGTCTTGGGCACAGACTTCTGGAATTTCTCTTCTCTCCACTTTTGGCTTATGGTTTTTTAAACCATTAACAGAAAATGAGCGCCGCTCTGGCCCTTTTGCTGATAATTTTCTAAGAAAAAGGAGTTAAGTTTTCCCAGCGTGGATTCTCCGGTGTCTAGTTGTGGTTGTGCATCCCCCCGCAGCCCCGCGAAGCCGGAGGGGGGCACCTCCGCGACATGGGATGCCAGCACATGGCAGAGTCTCCATCCCCGGGACTCATCCCGGCCACGTGCCCGGCGCCTCCGTGGTTGGCTTCCCAGCGTGCCGGGATGAGCTCACCCTCACCGCCATCATTTGAGTTCACGGGCGGAGAAAGCCAAAAAGCCAAGTGAAATCAGAAATTAATCATGCAAATACAAAAAAAACCCCACAAATATTGTGCACGCGTTTCAACCTGGAAATTTAATATCAGTGGGATCCAGGAATTCGGATGGAAATAAGGCAGCCAGAGGTATTTTCCCAGGAAGGCTGGTACCTGTCACCGCGGCTCGTTTTGGAGGTCGGCTAACGACGCGACGAGTCTTTGAGCACTTGGGCTGACTCACCAACGGGAAAATTCAACGTGCAAAGTTCAGAGGGAGCGGAGACAAGCGGAGAGATGCTTTTGGCCGTCCCGGGAAAGTCTTGTGAGCTTTTCCTGGAATTAAACAGGAAAACAGAAGACAGGTGGTGTTTTTTTCTGCGTGCAAGTCCCTGGTGGTGCACAGATCCGGAGAATTGTATCCGTCTGCTTCAATAAAAAAGCAAATAAGAAAGGGAGAGGGCTGTAGTTACTGCAGTTCTCCTTGCTTGGAAGCAAGAGCTTTATCGCAGTCACGGCTCTCCCCATCCATCCACGTTTTGCACCATTTCCAATTCCCTGCCGAGGTATAAAAGAAAGCCTCAATCTCGGTCACGCATCTCCAGGGCTGTAGCAGCGCTGGAAACCTGAATCCTCAAAGATTTCCTCCCCTTTTCCTTTTTCGTCCCATGAAGCGAACGGAAATCCTTGCAGCGACGGCACGAGACGCCGGGGTTGTGGTCCCGGAGAGCGGAGATCCTGGCGTCTTGCTATCGAAGGACTTGGGCATTTTTTGGAAGAGGAAATCATTTTACAGTCAAATCAACTGGAAAAAAAAGTGCTTTGGTGGGATTAGGATGGTGAGATGAGGTTTAAAAGCTGAAAGGCATCAGCAGGACTCGCAGGTCCCTGTTTTTCCTGGACGTTTTTTATGCTTCCTGCTGGATTCTGGATTTTGATGCTTCTGGTTGCGCTCCCTTTGTGGCTGCGGGCTCTCTTGGCACTGGAAGGGCTTTTCATTCATTTTATGGCACGGCTTCAGGTCTCGCGATGTGCGAGGGTGTTGCGAAATGGCCCATGGCGTTTCCTCGACGCGTTCCCAGAAACTTCCACCGCCACCTTGAGCGGAATCTGCGAACTGACATGCTCACACGCGGGTGGCCGCCGCATCGCTCGTGCCCTCCGGGCGCATCGGCTGCAGCTCTTCAGGGGGTCCCGATGCCAGGGGACACGGCACGGACCCACCCCGGCACTGAAACGGAGCAGACACCACTGGAATGTTCTGGGGATACAGAACAAGTTGGGGCAGGAGATTTTTAAGATTAAGGAGATTTTTATCTCCGGGTGGTTTGGGTGCCTGGGGGAGCAGGTTGTGCTCCTGTCCCCACTGTCACTGTGCTCCTGTCCCCATCACCATCACGTTCCCATCCTCATCGTGCTCCCATCCCCGCTGCCATCACATTCCTGTCCCTGGCAGGCTCCTGTCCCCATCGCCAGCGCGTTCCCATCCCTCTCGTGCTTCTGTCCCCACTGCCATCGCACTCCTGTCCCCGCTGTGCTCCCGTCCCCATCCTGCTCCTAGCCCAGCTGTGCATCCCTCCATACTGAATGTGCATCAATCCCGGCTGGGCACTGCTCCATCCCGGTGGGGCGTCGCTTCAGCCCAGCTGGGCATTGCTCCATCCGTGCCAGGCATCAATTCCTCCGTGCTGTGCATCACATCCCGGCCGTGTATCGCTCCATCCCGGCCATGCATCGCTCCATCCCGGCTGTGCATTGCTGCATCCCGGCCATGCATCGCTCCATCCCGGCTGTGCATTGCTGCATCCTGGCCATGCATCGCTCCATCCCGGCCATGCATCGCTCCATCCTGGCTGTGCATCGCTCCATCCCGGCCATGCATCGCTCCATCCTGGCCATGCATCACTCCATCCCGGCCATGCATCGCTCCATCCCGGCCATGCATCGCTGCATCCTGGCCATGCGTCGCTCCATTCCGGCTATGCATTGCTGCATCCTGGCCATACATCGCTCCATCCCAGCTGTACATTGCTCCATCCCGGCCATGCATTGCTGCATCCTGGCTGTGCATCACATCCCATCTGTGCATCACTTCATCCCGACCACATATTTCTCCATCCTGGTATGCATCACATCCCGCTGTGCAGTGCTCCATCCCAGCCATGCATCGCTCCATCCCGGCCATGCATCACATCCCGGCCGTGCATCGCTCCATCCTGGCCATGCATCACATCCCGGCTCTGCATCGCTCCATCCTGGCCGTGTATCACATCCCGGCTCTGCATCGCTCCATCCCAGCCGTGCATCACATCCCGGCCGTGCATCGCTCCATCCCAGCCGTGGACCACTCCAGCCTGGCTCTATGTTGCTTTATCCCCGCTGTGCGTCTCTCTGTCCTGGCGCTGGAGCATCACCTCTCCGCAGCGGCTCGCGCGGGGGGACAGGAGCTGGCAGCGGGGGTCACGGGTGAGCTGTGCCCACATTGCGGCAGGAGTCCAGGCGCAGGCACGGTCTTGGGGCAACCAAGAAACTTTCTCCATTGCACCAGAAAAGAAGTGAAATTGTAGCACCCTCTTGCAAAACCGACCTCAAATCAGGGTCGAGGGGAAGCACGTCTCCTTCTGGGAATAAGAAAAGCCATAACTCATAGCTCACCACTGCCCCATTGCCCGGCCACGGGATGCTCAGATTTCAGCCGCCTCCGAGGCCGTGGGCTGCAGATTCCAGCAGGGAAAAAAAACCCCTCGGAAGTGGCTGGAGGACTCGCATGGCACCTGGAATTTTTCGCATCCAGCTGCAAAATGAGCGGAGAAAAAAGGGGGTGGCAAGCGCAGCCAAAATGCAGCAGCCGGTGGCGGGATGCAGCCGGGGCTGTCGGCCCAGGCCGGTCGCTGCAGGGGGATGAAATTCTGCAAAAAGGCTTTGTCAACTGGAGGAGCTGCTACAAGTGACCGCAAACATGCCAGAAACAGAGCTTTTCCCTTCTCCATCCCCCATGCACAGGCACAGCCATCTCACCACCGTCTTTTGGCAGGCTGGATGAGGCTCTCCCAGCCCCAGAGCAGCACCAATACCCCATTCCCACCCCTTGGCAGGATTTGACCCCCTTGGATGCTGTTCAGCACAGCGAGCCAGGGTCCAAAGGGTGCCTAATCTCCCTGTTGTGATCTCCATGTCTTTTTTTTTTTGATCCCAGCGCGATGCAGCCGCCCCAAGGACGTGGCCAACGCGCACATCGATGTGGGCAACAACACGCCGCTCAATGCCTGGCTGCGCTACACCTGCAACCCGGGCTACAAGCGCAAAGCCGGTACCTCCAGCCTCATCCAGTGCATCCTCCGCGACGGCTCCACCGAGCCCGAATGGACCCGCACCACACTGCAATGCATCCGTAAGCCCTCGCTCGGCAGCCGGGATGCGACAGGGACCGGGAAGGGGGGACACCTCCATCACCGGCGTGGCGGAGGAGGATGTGGGGTGGCGTGGGCGCTGCCGTTGACGGTGTCTCCACGTTGTGTCTTCCCGAAGGGGATCCGGCTCTACCTCCACTAACGCCCAGCCCTGAGCTCCCGACTGCGCTGTACACGGAGAGGATGACCCAGAGGGGTGAGGAAGGGGCGAACGCATCCCACGGGGGTTGGTTTGAGGCCGTTGTGACCGTGGCCATGGCAAAAGCCCAACCACCGTGGTGTGGAAAGCAAAATATTTCATTTGTGTGATCAAATTAATTCAATTGTCTGAATTTATGCCATTTCATAGCTGCCAGATGGGCTGTATGGTCCCTGCCGCGAACTGCCCGAATTGGGCACAAGGCTGAGCACCGAAATAATGGTGCTACCTGGAGTGTGCCCTTAATTTTTTAAATTAAAAGGTTTTACACCATTTTCCCCAGCAGGAACCACCAACACCAGCCTGACCCCCAGCCCCTCTCCAGCAGCAACACCCGGGCTGCCAAGAGCTGCCGGCCGGTCACCCATACCACCAGCACCTGATGGGCCATCATCAGGGACATCCACGCCGCCAGAGATGCCCCCGCTGCTGGAGACATCCACACCGGGAGAGGGGACGGCCTCAGGGACATCTCTGGGGACAAGCCCGCTGCCCACCGCCCCTAGGGGCCACGCCACAGGTCAGGCAGCCTCTAACAACGGGGCTGCATTTCAACCAACGAGGCTCTTACTTTTTCAATGCATTTTTCCCTTCTCTCCACCCCCCTTTTTAGTGAGGGTGCCCCCAGCATCCCCCCCTTTCCTGGCTTTGCAGCTAAAAATCTCCATTTCTCTCTTCTTTTCCAGTTTCCATCCAGACCCTGGCCTCTTACATTGGTAAGCCAAGCAAAAAGCTTATTTTGGCAAGCAAGCAGGGGTTTATTTTCTTTAATTTTTAGCTTAAAAGCCCTCCTCGGGGCTGCTGGAGATTTATGCTGTAGTCGAGGGCAATACCTCCAAGGGGGGAAGGATGCAGCACCCAAATTTCTTCCCCGGGAGAGGAGGGCACCTTGCGAACGTGCACAAAACGTTTTCGGCTCTTTGCCGAGCTGTTTTGTTTCAGCCGGGCCGTGCCCTCGGCTGTGCGTCGGAAGATGCTCATTAGCTGCTGCGTCTCTCCCGCAGGGCTCCCGCTGCTGGTGGTCGCCGGCATCGTGGCCTGCTGCTGCTGGAGGATGAAAACGTAAGTGTGCCAAGCACTGTGAGGTCTTTCCACCCCAGCGATGAGCTATCCTCAGCCTCTGCGCTTTCCTGAAAGCTGGGGAAAGCCGTTCGGGTGCTGGTGACGCTCCTCTCCCCTCCGCAGGCGCGCGGGGCAGCACTACGCAGAGGTGGTGACGGCCATCCCCATGGTAGCTCCTGCTGCTGGGAACACGGAGATGTTGCCACCCAGCGTCTTCCCCACGGGCTGAGCACCCACTGCCGGGCAACTCGGTGCACCCGCCAGCCCGGAGGATGCTCGGGGCTCGGGTGGAAAGCTGGATGGTTCCCTGAGCGGCGGCAGCACATGGTAGAGCGCATCCCGGTCCCCAGCCGCCCTCCGCATGGAGCATCCTCGCCCCAGGGACACGTGGCTGCTCTTCCCAGCCTGAACAAGTGACTCTCGTGGATGAGTCTGCTCCAGCACCCAAAGGTGCGTGGTTGTCCCATCGTGCGGCTCAACGGGGGGTGGGTGAGCCCTGCGAGCACCCCAGGGTGGCGCGGAGGTGGTGGGTGTTCTGCGTCGGGAGCCAGAATTCGGAGGACGTGGCCCTGCGGGTGCTGGCAGGTGGCAGAGAGCGAGTGGGCTGGGGGCTGCCCACCTCAGCGTTTGGGGTGCAGGGGACGGGGTTTGGGTGCGGGGGGTGAAGCTGGGCTGCCCTGCCCCAAGTAGCACCCATCCCCTGGTCAGGAGCAAGGCCAGAGTTGGGCCAGCTGGACACCAGCCCCTTCCCTAGAGCCGTTTTACCCCCAAATCGCCCCAAAACCCAGAAAGCAGCGCTGCTCACGGCAGACGGAGAGAGAGGGACCCTCCGCCGCGTCCTTACCCCCTTCCTGCTCTCTTTCAGCCATTCGCTGGCGAACCTGCAACCGCAGCGAAGGGTGCCGGCACCGTCCTGCTGCGGCCGCAGGGGTCAGCCCTCGTGTGCAGGTCAGGCATCCTTCGGAGGCGTTTTTGGCCGACCCCAGGTGCGCGCTGGCTCCAGCCGCTCGCAGGGGACCGCAAGCAGGAGTGATTTCACTATCCCAAGACTGAAGGCAATAACACGACCTATTTTCCTTTGCGTGTTTTCCCTTCTTCCATCCTCAGTTGTTATCCACTCATTTCCCCCTTGCTACAGAACAGGCAGCTTTATTCTGATGCTGGTTTACGTATAAATGTATATATATTGTATATAAAATAATGCACGCACAGCAGTTGATTTGTCTGGTTGGTCATCTCGCCAGCCGCGATGGTGGGGAGGACAGCGGGGACGGACGGAAGCTGGGTTGGAGTGAAATCTGTCTCCGCAGCAGCAAGGGCTCGCCAGCCACCAGTATCGCCATTCCCTAGAGGCAGAAGATGACGGCAAGGTGGCAGCTGCCATTTCTCAGCTGGATGGAAAAAGGGTTTTCAGCAGGCAGCTGGAAACCAGTAGGTATCTAACAACTTATTTCCACGTCCTTTCCTCGCCGCTGTGTCTTGTCCTCCTGGTTGTGCCACTGCTCTGGACCATCGGAGCTGGAGGAAGCAGCGCTTTAGATGTGTGATGGACCAAACCCTCCTGCAGCGGCACTGCCTCTCCCCAACGTACCACAGGAGGGTCGGAAAACAGCGGAGGCTGGAAGGGATCGCTGGAAGGGCCTGGTCCAACGTCTGCGCTGAACTTTGCAGTTATATTCAATGTCCGAAGCCTTGGATGAACTCCTGCCCATGAACGGTGAGCAGAACGGGGAAAGCTTTTCTGGAGTCAGTGATTCAAAAGCGATAGGAGAGCTGGCGAAGCAGCTGCTATTCAATGAATACCATGGAAATAAACAGGATGCATGAGCTTCCTCTGGCAGGCATGGCTCACGGCTCCAGGCCCACGTCGAAGAGCAGAGCTCTTCTGAAATGAGTTTCAGTTTTGATCTCCGCATGACACAGGCTCTGGTACAACGAGCCACGGTGTCTTCAAACGGAGAAGTTACCATCTGATTTACAAGACTGCCACGCTGCTTGCGCATTGCTACTGTGATGGCTGGTAAATAAATGCAACCCAGGACGACTTCTTAACTGAAGGGAAGAGAAAAAAGAAAGCGTTAAGGCTTTTTCTTTTTGTTACAAATTTAATTTCAGCATTAAAAATGCTCTCCGGTTTGTCTCCGAGTTCGATTGAAACCAAACCAAAGCAGTTCTTCAGACGCTGCCTCTCTTCTTCCGTTTTTGCTGCAGGAGAAGGGAAACAGAGTCTGGGGAAACCCCTCTGCTGCAAGTAAGAAAAATTAATTCAGCTTGGAGAGACTAAGGAGTTCCTCCCAGAACCGATACTGAAATTTTCCTCATTAAAACAGGCTCCAGGAAAAGTCTGTTTTCTAGGAATACAGTGTTTCTTTGGGTACTTTTCAGTGTCGCATTTCCTCTTCTTCAGCGGATCAGAGGATTTCACCAAGGCGTGATGTGATGGAATAGGTGGGGATGTCCTGGCAGTTTGGTTACCAAAGGCGCTTTCCTGGTGACAGAGGTTATGGAGGGGTAATGCTCAAAAAAAAAAAGCCATCCTGCTCGATACATTTTATATAGTGCATATTCTTCTGTGCCGTGCAGGCTGTGCCGACCAGCTCCTGGAGGGCAAGGCAGGGCTTGAGAAAAGGTCTCACACCTCCTTGCAGAGAGCCTGGAGGGTTCGTCTCAGAGCTGGTCTGAAATCCTACTCCAATATCCACCTGATTTTGGAGCTGGGATGTGACAACAGGCCTCGTCCTGCACCTGGGACGGCTCCGGGGTGCAGGCAGGGCTCTGGGGTGCTGGAAGGCTTCATTAGAGCTGGGTGGGCTGTTCCTGAAGCGCTGGGAAAAAGGTCAGTGGCGTCAGAGAGCCAAAGCGCTGCTGCGTGCAAGCGTGGCAAAGGTAGCCACCTGCATCCCTGCTGCCATTGCTCTGCGGGAGAGAGAGAGATGTGAGAGAAGAGGAAGGCTGGAGGAAGGCTTCCAGCCTTGGACGCAACCCCCTCACATCTAGAGAAAAGATTAATGATGTGCCCAACGCATCTCCTGCCACCTCCCTTGCAAGGAAATCCCTTACAGGACAGCTTGTTTAATAGCTGCAACAACCAAAATCATAGAATCATAGAATCGTTAAGGTTGGAAAAGACCCTTAAGATCATCGAGTCCAACCGTTAACCCAGCACTGCCAAGGCCACCACTAAACCATGTCCCTCAGCACCACATCTCCCCAGCTTTTAAATACCTCCAGGGATGGGGACTCAGCCCCTG